GCTTCTCACCGAGACAGAAAGCCGATCAGGCATGTACATGTTGCCGCTCGCTTTCACCTTTCTCTGTCGAAGCTCGCTTTTTCGAGGATCCTTGTACCTTATTATCTTGTATGACCCTAGACGCGAGACCCCGGCTGCCCCTTCGAGGCTACAGCCTACACGCCGGTGCTACTCTCGCGTTCCAAACGGGCGGGTGGCGAGGGTGGGGGAGGAGGGCAGCGTGAAAGATGGCGGCGCCATGGGCCAAACGGCGAAACGGAAGCGGCTTACGGTAGGATGAGTGGCGCGGCGGGGAGGCAGTGGCACAAGCGGATCACGGCAGGGTGGAGCGGCGCGGCGGGGAGGCAGTGGCAGGTGATACGGCGACATAACGGCAGGGCGATGGACGGCGGTGGCGGTGGCTGGGGGGTGGCGGCGGCGTGGGTGAGGTGGAGGGCGGCGGCGGGTGGTGGAGGGTGGCGGCGGCGTAAAAAAAGGGGACAGCCGAGAATCGAACTCGGGGCCTCGCCCACCCGGAGGGCGAATCATGCCACTAGACCACTATCCCTCGAACCGGGAGCCAGTCGGTGCTTTGGAGGTTGCCCGCCGCCGCTGCGTCAGAGCTGCTGGTTATTGATGATGCACGCGCCATTTCGCAGGTTAATATAGTTAAATTTGTTGTCTTAGGTTTTGAGGTATATTGAAGATTTTAAGAGAGGATTTTAGTTGGTGAGGATATTGTATTGTTGTGAGGATATAGTTAGAGGCTGTTTGAAATGCTCTCTTGCGCTGGCCGCTGCGCGCGCGCTGGCCGCTGCCGGGGCTCTGTCTCACTCTCACGTGCCGCAATATGTGTCACACACGGCGGCTGATTGGTTCCACTTTCTACGCACACCTACCGGGGAAGGGGCGCTTGGGAGCGGGAGCGGGGGCGGGGGCGGGGGCGGGGGCGCGCAGCGCGCGGCGCGCAACAGAGGGTAGGGTGGGGAAGACGGCGAGGAGGGGGCGGCGGCGGCGGCGGCGGCGGCAGCGCGCGCGCGGCGCGC